TAAGCCTCCGCTTAAACACCAGCAAGTAAGAGGAACTTTAAACTTAGTCTGCCTGCAAATTTTTTTTCTTTTATGTTTTATTGCGTTTTGCCTGAATACCGTAGATATCCATTTACGCAGTTACCTGTAGTGGCTGAGGATGATCGCGAGACGTGTTATTCTGAATATCCTTAAGATTTCAAAACTCATGAGGTATTTGTTCCAGCTACATTTGGTCGCATATCTGTATTTGAACTTACCTGAATTCTGCGAGCTATTTGTTTTAAAAATGCTAAGACTTTTTCACCACATCTTTTATTAAAATGCAGATCTTCATTCCCTCCCAGCATTAGCGTAGTAGACACAGAATATTGTTTTTTCTAAAACTTTAGTATATTGCCACACCATATTGATGGTGAAATTTATTTGGTATTTCCAAAATACGGAAAAAAGTGTAACTGCAAAGAAATTTATGGCAATATCTTTAATGAAGTTAGTTCATCATTTGCCATATACAATAAATTGCACAAAAGTATTATTGATATACTGTAAACGCCGGAGTTCAATGACTGAATATAATACTAATATCTAATGCCAAATAAATTTGGAATCGAAAGTAGGGTTTTCTCACGACATCAAGTTTTATTAACAGATAGTGGCAAGTACAATGGCTCATATTTATCCTCTTCTCATCACTCGCCGGTCAGTGTCCCGGTGAGTTTTCTGTTAAGTCGTACTCTTTAAAAAATATGGCGTAGTGTAATAAAGAAAGTGGCAGTTTCTTCAACAAAAAGGCCTTTGCAGTCGTGCACATGAATTTCGTTGGCATCTTTTTAGAATAAAATATTAAGGACAAAATTAATACCCTTTAAATCAACATGTCGTAGACGTCAAATGATATAAGTGGAATAAGGGTTTCATACCATTTTTGGATATGCGCCTCGAAGCAAGTCGACCTGGTTAGTGCTGTAGCCATACACTTATTTTCGCCTTAGCTGTTTTGATAAACATAATTTCTAAAACTTAATCTAAAAATCAAGTTTAAGCGCCAACCGAATTCAAAGTTTTCCGCAAGTTTAAATAAATAGCATTTGCCTCTTAAGTCAGTCGCAGCCCCCATCCCAATGGCTAGGTCATCGGACTTCTAATAAGCCAGTCACAGGTTCGAGCCTAGGGTTGTGCAAAACCTGCAGTTAGATATGGCTGGCTGATGAGAACAAGTAAGCCAAAACAGTTCAGTCCACTCTCCTTTTTCGTTGTTGACAATTTTCAGCGGCCTTTTAACAGCCAGTTAGATAACGTCTACCCTTGGCACACTGACATAATCATGTGATGCCTACAAACAGATCACAGTTGCTGTGCATATATAAAAGGACACATGGCTGTTCCCTAGTGCGTGAAGGATATATGAATTCTTTGGATGACCGACTGCGAATATGCAAAGAATCATGTAGGTCAAACAATGATTAAAAAAATTAAAATCTACGTGTTAAATCTTATTCTGTTATCATCCAAGCTGCAGCAAACAGAAATCGTGAATACAAATGTGCACGAAAAGTTCGGTATAAATCACGTAATTAAAATGCTGAAATAAATTATTTCTAAGTTATTAAGAAATATATGAGTAAGGTAAAGTTTTCTGTCATGTCCGTTGTTTGAAATTAACAAAAGCTTTTTACGTAAACAAAGCATGTGTTTTTAACGGTTTCAGTCACGTTTGCCGCGAACTTGACCGAGAACGAGAAGCTTATAAAAATAAGCATTTCTACGTCCATGTTTAAAGTGGATAGAGCTCCACCCGATATTCACTACCTGCTGCTCCGTGGAGACAAGCAAATTCAGAATGCATCTCAAACTATTTATCTGGAAAAGGTATGGAGTATTTCTGGGCTCATTTTATGATCAGTTCATTCATACTAAACGCTGCAATTATGCAGGAGCGTGCCTGAAAACCCCTGTCTAAGTAGCTGGGTACTTTCTTTAAGTTAAAAAGGAATGTAAAGTTAGGTTTTTTGTAACTGCTATCATTATTTTAACTGATTCATATCATTTCCGTCTTTTCACTTCCATTTTCAGGAGTATTCCTCTAACTGCAGGCTGGCACGATTTAAGTGGGTACCTTATTGGTTTAGATCGAATGTAACTCCACAATCGGTCGACTTAAGATTAAGGCATGTAAAATATCGTTAATATCGAAAAATGCATGGGAATATTCAGGATTATCAATCAAAAGGATGTGTTGTATTTTTCAAAAAAAGCACCGGTTCCCTCACATTGATACTTTTTGACGATCTCTTAGCTCTGCCGGGGATTTTTTTATCTCGCCGTGTGCGACTTTGGCAACAACTGCTGAAAGTTCTGGCAACTAATTTTCCTTCCTTACGGATCGCCGTTTCAAATATGCTTTTGGAGATTATGACGGTTCTTTTGCAGAATTTCTTTTAGCCGAGCCTCTCACCTTATAACGGGATCGATGGAAGATGTCAGACGCGCCAAGTGTCGCAGTCCTGGTAGTTTTGTGTTTTTATGCAAGAAATTATATTTATGCTAGGCATGCAACAAATGACAAAAATTAATCATAAGTAACCCCTTTTAAAAATAAGACGGAATAACGCTTAAATTTTTTTCCTTATATTTTAAGTTCCTTCATTATATTTTATTTTACATTTCCTGTAGTACGAAAGCAGGTTTTAAGAAGGCGCTTTTGATGGTTTCAGCTAGTATCAAACGCTTAACGTCATAGCTTGTCCATATTTTTTCCGTTTAGACCAAGACTGTGAAGTTCAGTATCATCTATGGACTTCCCACGTCCGGAGCAGTTGCTAACCTCTCGACCCAAATCGTTAGAATTTTAAGTGAATTTCCATCAGCATTTTCGGGAAATAGACTACAAATGCGCTTTGAGTCCCCTCTGTTCCATCAAGGACTATTTATGAGCCACTTCTTCTACGCTGCTTGTACAGGCCTTGATGCAACTGCCGAGTTTCGAAATCCTAAACCGGTTCTGGGACAGTATGTTTTTTTTTGAGTTGTTTTTCCCTTTCTGACAAAACTCACAAAAGTGCCGTCAGTTTGATCGAGCTTACAAAGTGATGCATTGCTATAGTGTGCGGGCTACAAGAAATAGATTATCGACTACTTTACTTAGCATAACGGGTAAAATTTTCATTAAGGGTTCAGCTGGTCGTGCGCATTAGATACAACTAGCCGCAATATTCTACCCTGTGGGACTGGATATACTATTTCCGTTTATTTTTTAGTTTATTAGTTGAATTTTTTCTCAGTATCGTTTACTTTTTATTTTAGTTACTTCTGTGGTATTGAGATTTTTATACAGTTGTTATTTAAAAATATTTTTCTGACGTTGGCCGGTATATGATTAAACTAAGAGCTAGATTATAGTAAAGCTGTGATTACATAAATAAAGTTAATACTTAACTAAATATAAGCTAACCTAAAACTTCAAAAAAACTAAACTAAAAGTAGCCACAGTCAT